CTTCTAACCAATCGGTCAACAGAAACTAAATTGGCCCCACAACACTACTAGCTACAAAAGCAGTTACAGTCAAAGCTCAAGTCAAACTCCTATAACATACTGAACATTCCATGTTTTAAGATGCTAAATACCAAAGTTATAAATTCATGGATTTTATTTCATGATAGCTAGGCTTGATGTCATCAATCTAAAATCAAGCAAACTTTGGTGATGCATCTTCTCACTCCCAAAATAATATCTTCAGTTTCCCCCAAATAACCTTGGTTGGCCTTTTCTTGGAGAACTATTAAGGGAGTGTTTGGGATTGATTAAAAAAAGCGCTTTTCAGCTTTTGGCTTAAAAAAAGTTGAAAAGGGTGTTTTCAAATGATAGCTTTTGCTTAAATTAATCACTTAAAAGCTAAAAGCTGGAAGCAGGTAGAAGGGTGCTTTAAACTGCTTCTCACTTTTTCTATTACACAAAAAGTACTTATTTTATCAAACACTACCAACTTTTACTTTTTCAGAATCACTTTTTTCTCAAACACTACCAACTTTTACTATTAATCACTTTTCCCAAAATCACTTTAAAAAATCACTTTTTTAAAGTTGAAGCAATCGCAAACAGGGGCGGATGTATCAAGCAATTGATGGGGGCACATGCCCCCAATGAAGTCCAAACTTTTAGTGTTTTACATATGCATATTATTAATAAAAAATGTAGTGCCCCCTACCAAAAAAATGCATGCCCCCATTAATTTGTATTAACTCAATTCTAAAAAATGAGTGAAAAAAACGGGTGGACAAGCGAGCAATGCAATCAGTTCACTTCAATGACATTACCGAACTCAATTAATTAATTGAGTTAAATTTGTATTAACTCAATTCAGGCACACACCCTTTATCCCTTTTAAATTACAGAGTACTACGTGAATTAGCTATGTTAACGATATAATCTCATCCCTTTACGTTTTTCTAAATTCGTAATTTGCTACTACGTATTATTTTATCTTGCTATTAGAGTCTTCCTGCAGTTGTATATTTTGCTAATTTTTAGTTCATTATTTTACTATTTGTATTTAATTTCATCTTTGAGAATGAATTGTTTAATTCAAAGTTTAAGTTTAAAATGTTGTTCACTGCATGTATAGTTCACGAGTATAATTTATACTCCGTATATTTGAACAGATTAAACAATGATATTAAGGTACTACATTATAAAACAGGGGCGTAACTAGGGGAAACCTAGACCCCGACCTACCCTAAATATAAACAATGCTTATATTCTTAGTGTAAAAAAAGTCCAATCTAACATTTTTTCCTAAATTATTCTTTGTACCGGTCCAGTCCGGCCAAGTGCTTTGGCTCCGCCGCTGCCATAAAAAAATAACCACTACCACTCAATCAATGCCACAATGTTCTCCTATTGTATATAGTTACAATTGAAGTTGTGATGGACGATTTTTTTTAAAAAAAAATGGTAACTCTTAGAGATCAGTTGTAATGCATAGTAATATTTAATACTCCATAATTTTCCGTTCGTATTGGATTATTTAATTTTTTAAGTAGATTTATACTACATCCATCCAGAAAAGAAGTTCTTACTTTCTTTTACAAATGTCCTAAAAAGAAGTTATCAATTCTATAAAAAGAAACCGCTTTTTGTTAGGCAAAAAGACTCAACTATCCTTACATTTCTACCTAATTTTTGTTTGATTTAACATAAAGCAAGGATAAATTTAAAAAATCAACAAAACTTTGTCACAAATAAATATGTGTGTAAGTAAAACCGAAACTTCATTTTGGAATAAAAGGAGTACTTATTATTTGAATATTTATCAGTTTTTTTCTTAATGGATGCCCCCAATAGCAAAAGTTTCTGGATCCGCCCCTGATCGCAAACACTCCTTAAGGGTCTTTTTGCAACAGCTTCTGCTTTTAAAAAAGTGCTTTTTTTAATGAAATGAGAAGAAGTGATTAAATAAAAGTTGATAGTGTTTGAGAAAAAAGTGATTTTGAAAAGTAAAAGTGTGTAGTGTTTGGTAAAATAAGTGATTTTTGTGTAATAGAAAAAGTAAAAGCACTTTTGACGCGGAAGCCGAGAAAAATAAAAGTTGTAGTGTTTGGGAAAATAAGTGCTTTTTTAAAGTCAAAAACTGAGAAGTGTTTTTTTAAAAGCAGTTGCAAACCAACCTTAAATGTTCAATTATTATCCGAGGAAGAAGGTAGCCACTAAAAGTTTCGTTATGATATTTTAGACTAGCATGGGCTCGGAACGTGAGAGGGAGCACTGAGTAGTCTATACCTCCTATCAAATTTCCTTACATTCAAGACGACATCCTATTAGATCACACATGATCAGATTTAGACAATATTAAAATACACATAAAATATACATTTATCAGACCACCCCCAAAACATATCTCACATGACTTGAATCAACTAGACCAAATCAAATCATTAGATCAAGCCACATCACATCACACCAGAAAATCTGAGTACAATCAAAAACATAATTCAATTTAAGATCTCTCAAGCTTAGTGGTGTTCACATGAGCACCCAAATCTTTGAAAGACATGTAAGCATATATGTGTGAATTTAGTATAATTATTTATTATTGTTTAAATTTCTAGTTGTAAATTCCAAATCCGTCACTACTCGAGCATTTCATTATCCATCTGGTTTTGGGGGAAAAGGGCAAAAAATGACACTAATTATTTTTAATGAAGTTCGCAATGGACACTAAGATTTTAAGTAGACCAAATAAACACAAATTTAAACTTTTTGGTACACTTTCAACCACCCTTTAATAACTCTGTCAAAGAACCCTTCCAGTCGAGAACGAAAAGATTGCACTACAAAAATAATAAAAGATAAGTATCATTTTAATTTAGGACATAATATCTCTGTTAGTAAACAGGCCCTTAGATTTCTGTTTTTGAATTTATGTACATAATTTTTACAAGGCTAGTTAGAACATATGGGTGCAAGGACGAATTCAAATACTCAGTATGAAAATGAGATTTAATTCCAAAAGAACCTAGTAATATTAAAGTTTAAGGTATGTTTACTAACAGAGATATTTTCCAGTTTTCCAGAAAACTGGAAAACTGGAAAACAGAAAACAGGAAACGTGATTACCAAAGAAATTGCTGGAAAACTGGAGAAAGGAAAAAAGAAAAACACGTTTACCAAATCATTTTCCAAAACGGAAAAAATGAGACATGTCTCTCTTTTCCTTAATTATTTTTAGAAGTGACTTTAAATAGTTTTCTAAATTTGGAAAACGCAGATGCTACAGTGCCGCTGCAATGAATTTGCATACTTACACCTAGTGGTGGGTCCGGTCCCGCTCCGATGTCGATTTCATTCCGGTACCTCCATCCCCGTACCTTACCCTTCACCCCTACCCTACCCACCCCGCGTACCCATTTTTCCCTATAATGACCCTACCCCACCCCCTACCACATGCCCCTACCTCGGCCCCACCCCGATCCACCCTACCCTACCGCCACCCCATATCACCTCGACCCCACCCCGACCCACCCTACCCTACTGCCACCCCCTACCACCTCGGCCCCACCCTGATCCACCCTACCCTACCGCCACCCCCCTACCACCTCGACCCCACCCCGACCCACCCTACCCTACCGCCACCCTCTACCACCCCACCCTGATCCGCTCTACCCTACCGCCACCCCCTACCACCTCGACCCAACCCCGACCCACCCTACCCTACCCCCACCCATATATTACCCCTTACCACATGCCCCTAGCAGTGGTTCGCGCTTTGCGCGAGGGACGGTGCCCAATGGTGAAAACGGGATGTGAAAAATCAGCAACAACAATGACATATAAGTTTGCAAAATAACAAGACATGTATCGGAAAGGAGAAGAAAACATATCTTAATGTGGACAAATTTGTTAAAAAGTGCCACCTTAAGAAAACATATCTTACACTGGGAACAATCATCAACCATTTAAATTTTTGCAAAATATGTCACCAATTCCCAAGAAGAATGACTAAATAAAGGGGAAAGAAATAAGTGTGACAGAACCTAGTTATGGGTCTTTATTTGACGGAGAATCCAAGTAGAACCATTGACCAAAATATAAGCAGGTGCAAGGAAAAACATAAAATTACACTTGCAGGTTATCTGAAATGACATGATGTTTGGAGCCCTATTGTTCCCTGGTATGCAGAAATTTCCATCACCTAGTGGCATACAAAAACATAAAACCTCCATTAAGCTATAAGAATTTATGCTCATCCATTGGAACATGATTGGCAGTTTTAGAGATGTACACATGATTGGAGATTGTTAGATGCAAATATTTTCAGATTATTTTTGAACCATTCTATTAAGAATGGAATCCTATTTTTAACTTTATATTAAGAATCCAATTTAAAACATTCTATTTAGAATCCAATTTAAAACTTTCTACTAAGAAAGTGCTAAAAGAAATACAACAATAACAACAACATAAAAGCCTTATTCCCAAAAGATTTTGGTGTCGGTTAACATGAATCGATTCATGATATGGATGTCAAAAAGAGAAGACAGACAAGAACAAAAAATGATAAAGATAAATAAATGTAAGATAACAATAGCATAAGAATATAAGAAAGATAAAAGAGGATTACAAAGCTAGAAGAGAAAAATAACATAAGAACAAAAAAAGATAAAAGGAGGCAGTGAATTAGCAAGATATAGTGAAAAGCTGTAGGTAACTTGTAAAAATGCTATAGGCATAAGGCATAACATGTTCTAAGATAATTAGGACTGCCAAATTCAAGTGTTGCAACTAAATAACAACGGAGGTAATATAAGTTTTTTTGGAGTACTTTTTATAGAAAAATGTCATTAAATCTTGCAAAATTATTGTCTTTTCATCTTTTGTCCACAAAAAACTTTTGCCCAGGACAAAAACACATTTTAAAGTGCACAACTGTTTAGTTCTTTAGGGACTGATGGATTGAAAAGGATGTGGGAGAGGGGGGCTAAACTGAACTCCTTACCTGGATGAAGCAGCAGAGAGTTTATATTTTATGGACTCTGAGAATGTAAGCAAGTCAGATGAACTTGACCTTTGAGGACTCTCAGGAGACTCACTGAATTTGTTTAAAAATTAGTTAGAAAAAGTGGTAGCCAAGGCAGAAAGCATGAAAAGAAAAACCATTCACAGAAGTTGAGAAGATGAAAGCAAATATAGGGTATGAAAGCAAGTTGTAAGTATCAACAGTCAAAAGGCATCTCTTGCTTTGATAAAACAGTTACTTGCAGAAGAACAGATGGTGCAGCATATACCATTGATTAGTTGAATCATCTCCACCTGTTGCAGGAGCAGGGGCTACATTTGATAAAGATGAAAAGGTTGACAATGATGTGGTTTGGCCAGATGTTGTTCTAGAAGGAGGTAGACCACTCCCAAGAAATTCATGAACTCTTCCTTGAGACTCTTCTGGGTAGTCTGTTATGTGATGCAGATGAGAACCAGCTTCAGTGGGTGCAGAAGGAAGAACCACCCCTGAAGACGTCATTCTTATCATTCTACTAATGGATCGAGCTTTGCTGGTAAGTGCAGCAAAACGTCGCATTATCCTCTCTTCAAAATCAGAACCATCCTATGTAAAGAAACCATAACTCACAGTTGGAAATTAAAATGCAGCGTAAAGCTTTAAAAAAACAGGTATAGCTGATTCTACAAATTCTTACCGCATAATCCATACTGCCACTTTCATGAATTTCAGGGGCATAGTGCAAACTGTACCTTGACCTGGCATTATTTTCACTCTCCATTACAACCAACAGATCTTGGCTGGATAACGAAAACAGTAAAGATAGAAGTCAGACTACAAGGAGAGAGGGTTCAAATCAAGAGGTTTCTCTGTTTTAATCACAGTTTGAGTGATCGATTTGGATGCAAAAAATTTGAGTACCTTGCAGGCTCTTCTAGTACAACTTTCCTTGAACAAATAGGACATTCTTGGCTTCTCTGAGACCTGAACAGAAACAAGAGATGCTCAGTATAGATAGGGAGTAAATAGACCTAAAAACAAATTAAGATATTAATGATGCAGGATACCACTCGAGTATACACTGCAGGTGATATTCATGTTTACATTTGGTGACCTGAAAAGAAAGGCGGCATAGAACACCGGGATGTGAAAAATCAAGGCAGAAGGAATCAAAAGTTACTCTATGTTGCAGGTAGAAGAGGATAACATGACCTGTGATATCCACACAGTGGAGTGAATATGGAAAGATTAAACAAACATATTGACCAAGGGATGTTTACAAAATAATAAACACATCCATCAAAATCCCATACGACTAAATTTATGGACTTTGATACATTAAAATATGCATTAAAATTTCGTTCTATTACAAACTATTACAAAAGAGCATTATTTCTATCATATGGAACAGATTCACTGCTATGAAGCGAATAACCTGTTATTTTACTTATAAATGCTAAAATAACAGGTTATTATAAAGTTTTGTGTTGATGGATTGGTTTTTCTAGTCCGTAGCCGAGGATAGGCAAGGGCGTTTTGGATTATGTCGAGGATAGGCAAGGGCGGCAACACTTTTCTGATTGGTCGTTGATGCGTGTGAGCAATTAAGGAGGCTAAAAAAGTGTTTGTGAAATACAAAGACAGGCATATATACATTCCCAACAACTGGCAAGCCAAGGTGCTTAACATTTACAAGATGTGTTGCTTATTAATATTAACATACACGCAAAAGTAGCTGAAGATATAATACAGGGAGCATTCACACACATATGGGTAATTAAGCGGCAAGTAAAATGCCGTGAGTACTACGACTTTCCGCTAATTATACATCGTGCTGGACAGCAAAAAAGGTGGCATAGGAAGAATGTAGGTTGTGCATAGTCATATATAATCCCCGTTAGAAGAATGCACTCGCGAATCCACCATAGCAAAAAATGTGTGCAACCTGCACACTAAGTAGTGCTGGGCTTGTGCTTTTTGGGGCGTAGGTTTGCAAGTGGCTGTTCCGCAACATTGTCCTTGTGCGCAGCAGTATTCGCAGATGAGGAAGGAGTTGCAGCTGGTAGTTCACTAAGGGGCTTCAAGCTCAGTTTCCTCTTTGAAAGGATCGATGGCTCAGCAGAAGTTTCAAGTGGTGCAGGGTCAACAACTGCGGAGTCAGGGGGGGTTTCAGTCTGTGTTGAATTGAGTTCTGGGGGGGCTTCATTCTGTTTGGAGACGCATACAATGGTGTACGGATTGCCCTGTAGTCCCTCTTCGTTAGGTTTGGTTCGCTTGACCCCAGCAAGAACACTTATCTTTTGTATTTTGGCATCGAACAATTCCAGATCCATGTCGGTAGTTGCATCCATGCATACGAATTGAAATAGCTGCAGCACGTCACTGGTGAACAGGGTGACAGGAATGGTGCTGGTTCCATCGGTAAGTGAAGCGTTAAGTCTGAATTTGTATGAATCCAAAGTTAGTACCAGACAAGACGTGAAGAAGTATGTTGCATGTCAAGCTGCTCGCATACCTTTTAACAGTAGTCCCATTTATTTGCCCGCAGAATAAGCATTGGAAATTGGCACCTTCGATTCCATGAACTCTGCGGTTGCAGTAGTCGCAACCAATGTAGTACCCTTCTTCAGAAGTATCTGCCAAGTGAAACTTACCATACACCCATACAACAAGAACCTGTGTATTTGAAGAAGTGAAAACATTGTTTACTACCATGTCAAAATAACTTCACACTGAAAAGTTGGAAATTAGTAATGACTCAAACCTCAGTCAGTGCACTTTCTAAGTTTGCCACGGTAGTTTGTGGTTGCAAAAGAGGTTTGGCGATATATGTAAGTGCGTTATCGTATTCTTTACGATGCAGTGCGTAATTGATATTGGCTTTGTTTTCAGCAACCATGTGAGAGCATGTAAAGACAGAGAAGAGATTTTATCCCTACCTAAACTACCTGGTAAGTAAATAAATGCATGGATATAGAAACAAGTAGGCACCATTTTTTAAGTTGCAATGCGCGTTCTCCATCAGGATTGAGTTCAACGTGGGAGTCAAAACGAGTTGCAAGAGTCAAACCTGCGAAACACAAATGTAGTTAAGACAAAATGAGCACCAAAAGGAATGTGTTGTCTATCAACGTAGGTATCTGGCAGATGAGGTTGTAAACATTGCAGTGTGTTGCAACTATATGTGCAAAATGATAACATAGAGTTTGCACAGTATCTATGTGTATTTTCATGTTCCACTCCGATGGAGTTTAAAGTAAATATAAATGATGTTATAACCTTGGAAAAGGTTGATGGCAGCCCTGTTGATGAGCACAAGGGGGAAATCACCTGCGTGAAGACACTTTTCTATCTCGCGACCATGACGGGTGACGAATTCCTCCCACATAGTGAATGGGATTGGGATGCACCTATGAATGCATATGGGAAAATGAGACCAGTGTGGAGAAAGTTTTGTAATAAATTGAATGTAAATTAATGATTTAGGGTGTACTGTGAATCAATAAGGACGACATCCCATGCTGGTTTTTGAGTGTCATTGGAGAAGACAAAGGTGCATGGCAATTTCTTTACAATTGCAGCCATAACATCTACATTTTTTTTGATGAGGTAAGAAGGCATAAAATATATAGCAAACAGGCATGTTACAAATGCATAAACAGATATTAGAGGCATACTGATACGAGTTTCACGCAAATAAGAATCATATATGTCACTGAACGGGGTGGTGTCTGCCTCAGCCAGTTGGCGGAAGTTTTGCCCCGTCTCTGCGGCAACATCCTGGATGAAAGTGCGGCGTGTAAACGACCACACATATGGGTATTCCACATCAACCAAGAAGCGCATGTCAGTTATCGGCTTCACGAAGGCGTTTGAGACAAGGTAGGTCGAGTACAATGCAAGCCGTTGATCTATTCCTTGAATGTCACCTTGGAATGCAGTCGCCTGTACTCTGTTCCCCTATAAAGAACATATTGTTTAAGTTAGAGAAATGGAAACGCAAAAATTGACAACCACCATTACAACAACAAAGATCCAGAAGTGTACAGCAGAATCTCTGAGTATCATAGGCATAAATCTCATGGCCGAGGCCTTTGCGGTTCGCACATTCTGTTTTTCAATGACTGTCACTCGACAGGTCCATGGCCTAGTCTCCGGTTTGACCGACACAATCGGTACTTCAGCTGCCATAATGGTCTGTTCACTGTGTTGATGAAAACACATTAAATGAGGACATAAACTAAAGCAATATGAATGTTAAATTAATGCACATATATGAATAACACCTAGTTAATGAAAGGCAACAGCTCTTCAAACACAATGTTGGGTGTTGTATTAGCGAGTGACGGCTTCTGTTCGTCAGGGCAAATGACAATTTTAATTGAATCTGCGTTGCGAGCCCTTGACATTGCAACATAAAGCTGCCCGTGCGAAAAAACAGGTTCCTTTAAATATATGCCAACAAAGTCAAGCGTCTGTCCTTGTGACTTGTTAATTGTCATTGCGAAGCAAACTTTAACAGGGAACTGTATCCGTTTAAATGGCACAGGGCAATTCTCATCCCTAGAAACCTCTAGGGGGATTTTAGGGATAAAGACATGTTTACCGGTGTGGTCGCCAGCGGCGATGTAACAGCTTAGAATATGATCCCCAAAGGAATCACAGACTAAGCGAGTTCCATTGCATAAGCCTTCACATGGATTAAGATTGCGAAGCAACATAATTGGGCAATTATGTTTCAAATTCAATTTATGTGGGGGTAAGCCGGTAGGGGATAAGGTGTGCAAATAATCCTGGCAGTGTGTGTTTTTTGAGTCAATAGGAATATCATGGCTAAGAAACACGTGTGCTTCTCCAGGGAACTTATTCATTAGGGATGTATTGATAAAATCAACTATGTCATTTTTTGTTGTCAGGATTGCACGTGACATTAGAGAATAAGGGTCGTTTTTGAATACTTGAAGATCTGGGTACACAGAGGAAAAGAGCAAATCTAGCGACACAGTTTCGTTAACCCATGGAAGCAAAAAATTGGAAGGGATTTTAATTCTTCCTGGAGTTGTATGTGGTTCAGTTGCATTGCCAACCCGCAACAGGTAGTCACTAAAAGCAGGGTCTTCATGGGCGCGCATATTTAGAACAAGGCGCAATCTCTGAACATGTGGCCATATTGTTATTGATCTCAGTAAGCATGCATCAACAAAGTCATGTCTTGTGCCGGAGCGCACAACAGGCAATGTTTGTCTAAAATCACCCCCAAACACCATAACCCGTCCCCCAAATAGAATGTCAGTATCTAGTATGTCTCTCAATGTCGTGTCTAAACTTTCAACGACCATTCGATTTGCCATAGATGCCTCGTCCCACAAAATAAGTCGTGCTTCTTTAAGAAGTCTTGCTTCAGAAGATTGTTTGCCAATATTGCAGATGTACTTTGATTCTCCATCAAGGGGTAATTTAAAGCGCGAGTGGGCAGTGCGGCCTCCAGGAAGAATAGACGCAGCAATACCTGAACTTGCTGTTGCGAGCGCTATCCACTTGTTTGTCCTGGTTGCCGCAAGCAAGCACCGGTACAAGAAGCTTTTCCCAGTGCCCCCAGGGCCGTCAACGAAGAAGACCCCCCCTTGCAAGCGTGTACAGCTGCCATTATTGAGTCAAATGCTGTTCGCTGTTCAGCATTTAATCTTGAAATGCCATTCAGGTCTGCATCACTAACAAGGATATTACGTTCTGCTAATATCTCACGTGTGGTGCCCTCAGTGTAAGTTTGCCGCAATTCATCATCCACCAGATCGAAAGAGTCTATGTCCTTTCCCATTTCAGTGAAGAGATCGTGTAACAACAGCAGTGCAGCCTTTTCAGCCAGTGCAGATGGCTGAAACCTACTCAAGTCCTCGCACAAATTTGTTTTGTAGTCAACCCACAATGCACGTGGGTTTGGTACGTCTGAAAAGCACAAATGTGTGGCAAATAGTTTTCGGAGGCTGGATGGCAGCTGGAATAAAACTGCCTCATCAAGGGAGGCACGTATCACAAAATCACCTGATAGAAGCCCTAGACGTTCAGCGGCAGCCCTATACGTGGGCATTTGGTCATTGCCAATGTTTTTCAGGTTTGCAAATGAGGTTGGTCCCCGTACATTGGCGAGTAAGAGTCGCAAATAATATCGCTCTCCTTCTACAGGATTTACAGAGACAAGTCTGCCTATGACTTCCCTTCGTTTGCGTTGAGTCCATTGTTTACGTTGACTATTCCAAACAAAGTAATGTGGAAATTCCACATAAAGAAGGTGTAGGGATCTTGCAACCTGATCAGACATGTTCATTGCAAAGAATTGTGTCAGCATTGTTTTCATAGAATCAGCAGCCTGTGTGATATACGTTATGCGCTGGTTGCCATAAAAGGTAATGTATTGAGAGTTTTCCAAATGGACTTGCAATTGAAGCACAGCGGGGTGCATTTCTGACATTGGAAAGCTGAATATACGCCACGCAGCTTCAGGAGCAGAAACCCATCGGGCTTTTTGGAAATCAGTAATTTCATCAACCACCTCATCTTCTCTCCTTTCGGATAATGACATGCTAATTCTGTCGTGGCCTTTGTATACATATTTGTATATGTATTTAACTGATTTTACACTCGCACAAGCTTCAACGTTGATGTGACAATCGTACTTGCGCAACAAGCGCGCATTATAAGGGACAACCCAGCGGTTGTCAAGGGGATGTTTCCTTACATCAACAGTAATTCCTGAGTCACGACGTCTATACGCTGGGAAGCAGTTTTCATCGAAAACCGTGATAGGGGAGAATTTGTGCGGAAATTTACTCCTGCATCCTGGGGATTTGGAACCGTGTGCTACAACCATGCAAGGACATTGTGGGTTTATGTCGCCACAAGGGCCATGTATCATATGTTTTTTCACAAGATTATGCAGGTGATAATCAACAGTGGGATCTGGTAGTTCAGCAGTAATGAGCTGATCACAACGGGATGCAGTGGAAATTTTACATTCCCTAGACAGGATGAGCAGGAAATGAGCATGAGGAAGACCCCTTTTCTGAAATTCAATGACATATGTGTGTGCAACTACTTTGCCAAATAAAGCTTTGGAAATTATGTCTTTTTTGAACTCTTCTAGACGGGCTCTAAAGACACGGGAAACAAGGTCAGGACGATTTTGGGTCTCATCAGCGAAGGCTAGGTAGTCCTTGATTTCAGGCCAGTTGGGGTTGCAGGTGATAGTAATGAACAAGTCTGGCTTACCATAATTTTGGACAAGCGCCATTGCATCCATGTAACGACCGCGCATATCGCGTGGCCCACCAATGAATGACCCAGGCAGCATAATGCGACGACCCACTTCATTAGTGCTCTGAATACCCGCATCAACACTGTCAACTAATCCTTGGTAGGTGTCACCCCGATATTCGCGCTGTTTGCTTCGGTAATAATCAAGCCGTTGTGTCTCTATCTTAATATACAAGTCAACTATGTACTGTTGAAAGAGCCGGCCAGAATGCATGACAAATGACGTGTTCGCATGCCGTAATTGCAATTTGTATGCATAATACTGACGACATGAAACAGAATGCATTTTCTTCCCCCCATCAAGCAAGCGTGCTTCCCCAGCTATCAGCGATTCATCTGTTTCAAAGCGGCTGCAATTGAGGGAAATCGAATTCACATGGGATGAACCGTTGTGCTGTATGTTAACAGGACCTTTGGGAATGCCTTCGTGCCAGCCCACTTCTCCTCGTGGAAATAAAAGTGGGTATTGTAGAGGGTCGTAGCAGCCGTAGTAGTAATGGATGTTCTGAGACCTTCCGCTGTGCGCATAAACACGTATGTGCCTGGTCGAGGCGATACCTTCATACCCATCCTCAACCCAGACAGCAGCAACTTGAGAAGACGTTGGGCGGTTGTAAACACGTTGATCGAGGCGAGGGTTCCCATTAAGGACAATGGAAAATTCGTCTGCCTGATCCAGATCAGAAAGTGTCTTAAAGAACTGTGCATACGGGTTCGTACACATCACTTCCATCAATACACGAACCACATCTTTGTCTAGCCGCTCCGTTGAGTCCAGCCTGCTGTTAAGGGCATGATCTGTGTCGTAGAAATATAGTTGCAGATTTTGAGGTGGACAACCGTCAGGGAGCAAGTCGTTTACGAAGTGGTATATTTGACCTTGAACCCTAAACGTATATATCCCCTGATTACGGCGACAAAGACTCTTGTCATAATTGTAGATCCCAATAGATGTGAAAGCAAAAGTATTGTTGTAAGTGCGCACGCAAGAGCGAAAGTGTTTTGATAAAGGGTCGAGCGCCGTGAATAAGCGAACCAGTTGCTCTGGCATTTCAGTAGACGTGAGAACGATCTCACCCTTACTGCAGCACATACTTGCAGGTTCATATTGTAGACGTTGACCACCGCAGAAAAAACAATCAGGAACACTCTGAAGGCGGAACTCGTCAACGGTAACAGGAACCGACCTGCTAGATTCGGACACAGAGGTGTGCGCTGGAATTGATGACGCTATGCACATACAAATGAAAATGACACCAAGTAAAGCCAATCAAGAACATATCAAAAACACCAGTGGCAGGATAAGTAGTTTGGAAGTTGGGTGGGGGGAAACCAAAATGTGCACAGAGGTTAGAAGTATGTATAGGAACAAATACGAACGTATGGTACGCAAATAAAGGGTGGGTAAAGAAGGGCAACAAAAGGCAGATAGGCACAGATTTGGGAATAATTATTTCAAAAGCACATAAACGACACCCAATGTACATTCCACCAAGGTAAAGAGAGGAAATTTAAAAGGCCAAATGAATATGAAGAAGGATAAGGCAATATATGGTTGGCAGATAATTTCAGTTGTGTAGGAAGGGTATTGGAAAAACAACAAAGAAGAACAAGTTAGAATGGATCACCAACATGCGTTGTAACATAGGTCACTTTAATAATCGTGCATACGTAGGGATGAACCTGAAGGAACGGAGGTGTCACAGGTTTGATGGGTGCTGTCAGCAATAGGAGTAATACCACTGCGAGTGCGACTGACAGCAGCTAAACCCTAAACCCTAAACCCTAAACCCTAAACCCTAAACCCTAAACCCTAAACCCTAAACCCTAAACCCTAAACCCTAAACCCTAAACCCTAAACCCTAAACCCTAAACCCTAAACCCTAAACCCCA